GTGGTGGGGGGAGAAAGATTGTGATGCGACTGTTGTATTTGTCGATCCTACGCAATAAACTCGCGTATTTTTTCTTGTTTTCGACTCCTATATTCTGAAAGTTTCGAAAAAATATTTTTTCATTTTAAATTATAGATTTAAAAAAAAAATCGATTTTTAGCTGTTTTTTTGCAATAACTTATACATTTGTTTATCAATTGACATCGGGCTGAGCCCAATTTTTTTTTTATAAAAAGTTCTACAACTTTATCTAAGACATTTTATTCTAAAATCGGAACCGATAAGAGATACGAAGTAGCTTAAATTAGGGCAAAGATGCTTTATCAGGAGACCAACATTATGCCTAAAAAATCAATTAATTAATTTTCGAAATATTTGAAAAAAAAACGAAGTTTTGGAAATCCGTTTTTGTTTCATTTCAGCCTTGTTTGAGGTGATATTGAAAAAAGAATAACACTTTTTCATGGCAACTTTTTGCCCTCTATAGAATGGCATAATCAATTTTTATATGTAACGTTTCGTCTCTCCAGGACGATCATCAACTTTAAAAAAAAATTAAATACATTTTGCAAGCCTTCATTATCCTCAGCCCGAAACAGATTTAGACGTTTTGTCACGAAAAATTCATCTTCAATGTATTCGTTCCGTTCGCGCTTCCTCTAGGTGAAATGTGCGTAATAGTCGAGTTATTTCCCGTAGAATTGTATTTAGCCAATCAAGACTATTGTGCACAATTTTGCGAAGAAAAATCTGGAAAAAACATTCAAGTGTAGCACTGAGTGATCAAAAGGATCAAAGAATTACATTGAGGATAAGCCCACGCATGGATAAGCATCATAAGTTTTAAAATGCAACAGTTTCAAAAATCTTCATTGAATATTTCCTAGTATATTCGTATGAATGTCATAATTGGGACACCAAACAAGTGACGTATATTCTAGTTTGCTTCTGGCGTAATTTTCAACATATATGTTTTAATGAAGTTGTGGCTACTTCATACAACGCAACCAAGTGTTCTAGTGCTTCACTAGCAATAGTGCCGATATACAATTAAAAAGTTAGTTTTGGATCGAAGATAACGCCGAAATCGCAGTCTGCGTAAGTTGTTATTTAAATTCTAATTAATAATTAGAGGAGATAATTTGCAATTAAACCGCTAACGTTACAATTTGCAGTATTGACTAGTAATCTATTTTCTATGCAACATCTCGATAAATGGTCTAAATTATCCAGGATTAGCCTACAGTCTTCTAAGGTTCTGACATGGAAAACATTTTCAATTCACCAGCACAAATTAAACAAGGTAAATCTGATATATCAGTTATGCTATTTGTGAATATATTAAATAATTATGGTCCCAGAATGGAACCCTGAGGTTCCTAGCCTCCTTCTACTCTAAAGGAGGCTAGGTATTCAATAGATCTAAAACCATTGCAGACAACGTATATTTTAACTATATGTTATAAGTAATTTTAAAAACTATTTCAGCCTAACCGGTTTAATAATACCTATCTTTCTTTCATACATCCGTGATAACAGGTGGATATTTGGTTGCTAACTATGAAGTTGATATTATTATGTAACAATATGACCAGGAAAATTATAGGTGCACTGCTAATAGATAAGAAAATATACAGGTACCTCGTCGTCCTATCCACCTACCGGGGAAAATTCTATCCAGATATTGGCGAATAATAACAGCGTGCAGGGGCTCCATCATGTTGAAGCCATAGCCTCTCGTTACGGTTCGAGGAATTTAGGAATAACTTGCATAGAATTGGAATTAGTTCGCCCTTTAGAAAACTACCTCCGTTTTCTAAAGGTCGAACTAATTCCAATTCCTGGCTCCATTAAGATTATCCTCATATAAAAATGGTCCTACAACTCTATCTTGTATTATACCTGTCCACACATTAGTTTTCTGTGGACGCAGATTATGATTTTCCCTCATCCAATGGCGGTTCTCTTTAGCCCAATAACGACAATTTTGTCGATTTACGTTCCCATTTAATGTAAAACTAGCCTCGTCCTAGAAAAGTATCCACTCTAAAGATAAATGGTTTTGATATGATTCATCAGTAAATTGCAAAATTCAACTCGTCGATCTGGGTCATCTCCAACTAACTCGTGAACAGCTCGCATTTTATATGGACGTTTTTTCTCATGTTTAAATATTTTTAAAACTGTCTTGTGATGGAGATCACTATCATGGGCCAGTTGACGGGCTGAAGTGACTGGATTTTCTTCCACAGCTAGTAACAAATTCAACTTCGTGTCGTCATCAACAACAGCCTACCAGTCTCGGTACATTCCTGACATGGCCCATCTCTCGATATCGTGGTGGCAAGTCGAGATGTGTTTCTCGGAACAGACAAACAACCTCGCATATCCAATCATCATCAAAATTTCGATTTTTAGCAATTCATTTAAATAAGGCATTTTCACAAGTTTGCAACAACATACGGCATACAATCCAACTTCCAGTGTGTAACTGTGTAAAAACACTAGCAAAACGTAGCAATATCAGTTATGGCAAAAATTTTCCATGGATTTTTTTGTGGGGATATCTCAAAAATCAAACAACATTGATGAGCTGAAGGAAAGAATATGAGATAAAACCAGGGCAATAACACCGGAAATGTTACGTAATGTAAGGGACGAAATCATCACAGATTAGGATGTTGTAAATGTAAATGATGCATTTATTACGTTGAAAGTAAGTAAAAGCAATAAACTTAACAATTACATTTTAATGTTGTACAATCCTCAACCTCTTGAAAAATAGTAAATGTGATCAGTACGCTGGATTCGACTTTCTATCGCCTTTCCAATGAGGGATCACACGCCACATTGTTGCATTTGAATAAAAAAGTTGGGGGTAGTTTCCGCCCTCCTTGAAGGGCTACATTTCGGACATTGCTTGAAAAAGGTGGGTAAATATATTCAAACGTTGACGTGTCTCGGGAATTTTTCGAAAAATTATTCAGTTCCCCAATAGCGAATTTATTCCAGTTAAAGTCTCCACCCTGTATAAATGCAACCCCTAAAAACAAAGAAAGAATTAGGCCCTGTTGCCATTTTATTTTTAACCTGTTTATAGCACATTTGATATCAACCTCATCGAAACGCAAAACGAAACCGCAAAATATTTAAATTATTATCGTTAAGTATAATCCACCAAAAAAAGTTTGCAAAGACATTCAACATGTGTTGAATATACGGATCTCTCTTCACAATGCATCTGATACTTTGAGTTGTACGAACAGAAGAAAAAACATTAATTTAAATTTTAATATTTGCTCTATTTATATTTGCGCCATTTTGTGTTTAAGACAAATATATTTAAAGATATTTCGGGGTGGCCATATCCCTGGCCGAGAAATGGTGAAATTTCTGGCATTTTTAGGTACTGAAATCTTGAAAAGTAAAACGTGTAGAACAAAAGTAAACACAAAAATAAAATCCTTGATGTTTTGTTTATTCATTGTTACCATTTAAATTTACCCAAATAAAATAATAACTAAAAAAAAGCGTTTGTAAAACATGCGTTTTCTGTTATCCTAACCCCACATTTTAAGAATTATTTTCACGTACTTATAAATAAAAGTAAACAATTTTATATGTAGGACTAAGCAAGTAAATGTTATAAGAATATTTACATGTGGAGTTATATATAAAAAAGTTAGTATTTTCGTAGATTTCAGTACCTAAAACCTTGATGGTTTGATCGTTTTTTGCACCTGTTTATTCGTTTTACTGCGGCGTCTTTGAAAATACTAAGGTGGCATGACATAACTTTCCTATTATTTGATAAGCTTTAGATTATTCAGTTATTAAATGTTTGAAATTATTTGTCTTTGCGGAAAACACTATTTAAAGAATATGGGGCCCTTAAACCAAAGCGAATATCTTGAATTAGAAACTGAGCTGTATTTCGGAACCCGAAATGCAGAGTTTAATTTCTCATAGAATTTGTTACATGCAAGGTAGATATTCCTTATCATAGCGCGACATAAACATAAAAGACCAGTCAATATTTAACAGTCTCATACAATTAGAAAAATATTGATGCTAACATTTTAGGAAAGCTTTTTTATTATTAACGAGGGGAGATAATTTTATAAAAACAACAGGATGATATTTCTTATTTATTTTTATTTTACGCAAGATAAAACATGACGTTGGTAGTAGAAAAAAAAAGAATACAGTTCTCATTTTAGACCCAGTGTGTAAAGTAAATGTTTATAATTGAATTTATAAATGACTTAATGGCGGTTTTCCACTAAACGAACAATTGAGTTTATGTCCTGTTTGTGTTTTCTAGAACCTGAAAAACAAAAACAAAACTGAAACAAATCCAAAACTCTTGTTTCCATCAAGCGGGCTACATTTTGTTCGAGTTTTATTTTTGTTTTCGATCCTTTTCCACTGGTTTTATTCTTAGTTATGGCTGGTTTATACTGAAGTCCCTGGAAAAAAAGTAAGTATATATATGTACGGTTAAAGTGTTTACTTGGTTAGTTAGTTAGTTTGTATACAAGGCAAGTAAACACCTTAACTCTCCACATATATATTTGTTAATAGCTATAATTCATTAATGATTAAAATATTGTTATTGGGAAGAAGAAGACGCCAACATAGATATTGGGTTCACAACACGACCGTTTCCACTAAACACGTCGAAACCTTTTGATGTGACCGCTTTCAAGCGGGACCCGAAAAACAAAAGTCCAACTGTCGCAAAACACGCCAGACTTCAAAAAGTTTGCGAAAAGTTACAGTTTTGTTTTATTCGACACAAGTTTGTGTTTTGTCCGTTTATTGGAAAACCGCCTTAAGGAATCGCCACACAAAGTTTTTGAAATACTCCCCATAATAAAATTCATATTGAAATAAATTATACTGCTAGATAAAATTTTGTAGCATATTCTATTCATGTACTGCAATGTAAATAATTCTTATTGTTCATTTTTACAGCGCTACAACAATCATTTTTGTAGGTGTGGTTTTACTGGAAGCCAAGAACACCAGAAGAACCGAAAAATGGAAATTGGTCCCACCAGACGGCGGATGGGGATGGCTTGTGTTGTTTGGCGCCACTTTGGTCAACGTACTGGTACCAGGAACGATCAAATCTTTTGGCGTTTTATTTGTTGAATTCTTAGAAGCATTTAAAGCATCAACAGCAGAAGCAATGTGGATTCCCGCATTGTGCTATTTTTTGTACAGTTCCCTAGGTAGGTTCTTTTATAAGTACGAATACTTATTATATTTATGAATTCATCAGTTAATTTACATTTTTAATTGTGTTTTGCACTTTATTACTGAATTATTCGTATTTTGATTTGATACTTTTGACTTCCATGTTATACATATACAGTGTGAACTAATTTGGTGATGCATTTATTAGCATCTTAGAAACTATAAGAGAAATGGAAAAAGTTTTAGACAGTTCTGTTGCTAATTTTATGGCGCTTGCAGACCGATCCTAGCTCTTCAGGTTTTTGAGTTATTTTGAAAAAAAGTATATGTATGTTATAACATATAAGATAAAATTTTAAAAACAACCTCAAAAATCAATATTTTAATATTTTTAATCAATCTGGCAACACCGTTTAATTTTTCGAAACTATTATAAAAAAAGTCTCAAATTTGTGTAAAAGCTTATCATTACTGTCATGGTGTTAAGTGAAAAAAATACACTTTGCCTTATTCCAATGAAGAAAAATGTGATATGTTGGAAAGCGTTATTAAAAATAATAGTAAATATTTATTTTTTGGACAATGGAATAACGCCATTTTTCCGAAAATGACAAGCAGTTTGAAACAAATGCAAATATTATTATCGTCATGGAGATTGATAGACTACTAATGGGCTTTTCATCGTAAACACGTGGTCGTTACTACCATTTTTTTCACTCGGTGCCATGACATTAATAATAAGCTTTTACAAAAATTATTTCAGACTATTCTATAATAGTTTCGAAAAATTATGCGGTGTTGCCAGATTTATTAAAAATATTGATTTTTGAGATTGTTTTTAAAATTTTTCATACTTATCATTGTGTGCTGTAAAAAAGTTACAGAACTGTCGAAAACTCTCACCATTTAACCATTTTCCTATCTCATATAGTTTCCGAGACACCAATACATGCATCACCAAAATGGTCCACACTGTATACAAGGTAGGACAAAATCGACCCTTTTGAGGGATTTTTCATATTACTCGGAATAGTACAAGAAAGTTAAAGTATCGAGTTTGAAAAACAAGTTGAACGGCAAAACCGCATATCTTAATTCGTTTAAGGACGTTCTTCATTTTTAGCTGTAATGTCGAATAAGTTTTATTTGGGATTTTTTTTTTTATTTAGTAGAGGAGTTTTTTTCTTAAGTTTTATTTAATATAATGCAGTGGCATACGCTACATTTTTCTATAATTTTCGATTTTGCAGTTATCCAAATTTATATTCTTATGATTGTGTTTTAATTCTTCGTAATATTTTCTGTCAAACGATTATATGATATTTATAGCAAAAATATTTTTCGAGGTAAAATATCAAAAATTATAATTGTTGACCATTCAACTGTTTTATGATCCAATTCGGTGTGTCATGAATCTTTTGCAACGGTATGTCAGATCCATAGCACAGTTAATTGAATGAACTAACTACTGGATTACAAAAACGAAACAAAACGAAACGTTTGAAAGGAAATTTTACGCAGGTATTAAATACTGTGGTAATAGTGGTACAAACAAATCGTAGCTAACTTGATTGATCTTATCTCGATTATTATGAGATATCGGAATAAACAGTGTGTCCCCGAATAGGGTACCACACTCTTGTAAACTTTTTTATTGTTCATTTTTCGAGAAAAGTTATTCTTGATAAAAAATTTTGCTTAATGAACAGTAATCAAATATGTAATAAAACAAAAAATTTCAAAATATGTACGTTTCGAGAAGTAACTGAAAGTTTTCGATTTTTGAAAAGAGCGATATGTCTCTCGTAACGTCAAGAAACCTAAACCGAGGACTTGGCAACCGGCCCGGAAATAGTTCTACCATTAACAATTGCCACAGTAGCCTGCAGACCAAATAAACGTAAATTTTCTAATTAAAAAATATAAATTAGAACTGGAATTAACAACAACAACGAAGTCTTATTCAACTTGTAAACCTCCAAGTAATACACATATTTCTAATCTTTTTCTAAATTTCTTGTACACAGACGAGATCATTTCTTCGTTTATGATGGCAACAGTGCTTAAGTAAATCAAGTTATCGTCAAAATCGTCTGGATACACTTTTTGCTTTATGTATCCCCATAAGAACTAATCTAATGGGGACAAGTCGGGTGCGCGTGCAGGCCAAGGTATTGGACCATAGCGTTTGATCGATTTATTCGGGAAGTGAACGTCAAGCCAGTTTCTTACTAGAAGTGTGGAATGTGCAGGGCATCGTCTTGTTAAAATATTAGTTTTCTTGTGAACGAATTTTTACTAAGATTTTCTTCCAAAGAGTAAGGACCGCACACGCACCCACGCGCACACGCACACACGCCCGCACACACGCACGCACCCGCACGCACGCACCCGCACGCACGCACGCACCCGCACGCACGCACCCATACATACGCACGCACGCACGCACGCACACACACAGAGACACACAGATACACACAGACACAGAGACACACACAGATACACACACACACAGATACACACACACACACAGAGACACACACAGATACACACACACACACNCGGCTTAAGCATAGAGGCCGTCGGCATCTTTGTTACAGATACCTGTGCCTAGGTTATGCCGGGTAAGTCCTACTTTTACTTATTTATCAGTTATTTGCATTACTTTAGAATACATTTCTTTAAAATAGAAGACCTCCGACAAATAATATACCTGACAGACAAATACACCAAAAGACACGTACGCCCCCGTAAGGTGGCATCCCCACACGAATAAAACGTACACACCTTCACACACACCTTCACACACACACCACACACACACACCTTCAATTCCCCCCCAAAAATTCAAAAAACCCAAAATGGCCATCCGACCTAGTATTATTAAAATTTTCGGATGAATCTGAAAATGACAAAAATAAAATTCTCTTACGTATAGAAAGACCGTCTAACTTTTTTATTTTAAGAGGTAGAGAAAACTTATTAGAATTTTATAGCAAAATTGATACCTTTCACCTCATATAAACAGACTTTTGAAGTATCTTATGTAATTTGCTGCGCCCTCTACGCTACCAAATAAAGCATAAAGTCATCGAAGCAGGCTATTGTAACAAAAAAATTACTTGTTCTTTCCTCTTTCATGCGTTATACTACATGTCGCCTTTATCTTTTATATTACATTTTTATAATTTTGGTATAAAAACATTTTTTCACAATTTTAGAAAAAACCTAATATTTTCACAATATTTTTGTGCCATAAGCGGATTATTATTTGTTAATTGTATTAATGTAATTGGTAAATTTTGTGTTCTTCTTCTTTCAGTATCATCTCAAACAAGGCTGAAATGAAATAAAATCGGATTACCGAAATTTCGGTTTTTTTTTCAAATATTTCGAAAACTAATCATGTTAGCCTTGATATTTTAGATGCATAATGTTGGTCCCCTGATTACGCATTTGCCCCATTTAAGCTAGTTTGTGTCTCTCACCGTTTTCGAGATCCCTGTAGTGAGAAGCGAATTTCTAACAGCCTGTATACAGGGTGGAGACTTTAACTGGAATAAATTCGTTACCGGGGAGCTAAATAATTTTTCGAAAAATTCCCGAGACACGTCAACGTTTGAATGATTTACCTACCTTTTTCAAGCAATATGCGAAATGTAGCCTTTCAGGAGGGCGGAAACCACCCTCAACTTTTTTTTCAAATGCAACAATACGGCGTGTGACCCCTCATTGGAAAGGTGACAGAAAGACGAATCCAGCGTGACTGATCACACTGACACACAAGAGGTTGAGAGTTGCATAACATTAAATGTAATTGTTGTTTATCACTTTTCAACGTAACAATTGCTCAAAATGTGCAACTTGTTGGCAACATCCTAATCTGTGATAGGTTTCGTCCTTTACATTACGTAACCTTTCCGGTGTTATTGCCCTGGTTTCATCTCCTATTATTTCCTTCATCTCATCAATGTCATTTGGTTTTTGAATGTAAACCTTACTTTTGAGATGTTCCCACAAAAAAATCCATGGAAATTTTTTGTCACAATTGATATTGCTACTTTTTGTTTGTATGCCGTATTAAGAGAAACGAATTGTTGTTGCAAACTTGTGAAAATGCCTTATTTAAGTGAACCGCTAAAAATCGAAATTTTGATGATAATAGGGCGCGACCTCAATGCGAGGTTGTTCGTCTGTTTCGAGAAACACATCTCGACTTGCCACCAATAAATCAAGGTACCATTAATAAAATAGAGGCACGATATCGAGAGATGGACCATGTCAGGAATGTACCGAGACAGAGGCAGGCTGTTGTTGATGACGACACGAAGTTGAATTTGTTACTAGCTGTGGAAGAAAATTCAGTCACTTCAGCCCGTCAACTGTCCCGTGACAGTGATCTTAATCATAAGACAGTTTTAATAATACCTGAACATGAGAAAAAACGTCCATGGTAAATTAAACTAATGGTAATTCTATGACAGTTATTCCCAAATCCCTTGGACCGTAACTTGACCGACGAGAGGCTATAGCTTCAACATGATGGGACTCCGGCACACTACGCTATTATTATGTGCTAATATCTGGATAGAATTTTCCTCGGTAGGTGGATAGAACCACAATGTACCTTCTTACACCACTGGATTTTTTTTGTGGGAACATCTCAAAAGTAAGGTTTACATTCAAAAACCAAATAACAGTGATAAGCTGAAGGAAAGAATAATAGATGAAATCAGGGCAATACATAATGTAAGGGACGAAACCTATCACAGATTAGGATGTTACCACCAAGTAAATGGTACACATTTTGAGCAATTGTTTCGTTGAAAAGTAATAAACCTCTTGTAAAATAATAAATGTGATCAGTACGCTGGATTCGTCTTTCTGTCACCTTTCCAATGAGGTATCACACGCCACATTGTTGCATTTGAAAACAAGAAGTTGGGGGTGGTTTCCGTCCTCCTTGAAGGGGATTTCGCATATTGCTTGAAAAGGGCGCCACTTACGACCAATTTTACCGAAAATTTAATTAATAACTTTTTACCCTGTATGTCTAACATGAAACTTGATTCAAAACCTGAAAGAGCAATCATTTTTCCATTAATTGTGTATTCTTGTTTCATTTCGGTATCTCGATCCGTTTTCGAGAAAAATCGATTTAACGAACACTATGTTTTGATAATACGAGAAATTAAAAGCGAAAGAAACCAAGTGTTTCTTCGTGTTATTACAACAATTAACAATAAAACAAATGAAATTCGTAATAATGATTTAAAGTCAGTGTTCGAAGAATCCACCGTTGA